AATTAGAAATACATCAGTGATACACAGAGAGGGCACGATTCTTGGCATTCAGGCACTTCGCAATCCCTAATGTTTTTAACCTCCCTACACCCAGAAAGGGTGGAAATACAGGTAAGGAAGTACCACTTCCCTCATTTTAGAGATGGAAAAACGAGGCACGGGTCTACCGCAGCCCCAATGCACCTATTTGTGTGTAGTTGCTGTTGAAATTCTTCACACATATGGGCCTAAATTGCTTTACAAGGTCACAGTGAGCACTATGGGTTGCTGCTGTTTTTTCTCAGACCCTATATTTTCTCTCCTCTGTGAGCCTATAGCCAAGGAAATGGGTTCTAAGGCAAATATGAGACCATCTGACACCTGCATTCATGAAAAGGGTCCCCTCTCCCATCAGCTGGGCCAGTTAGAAGGCATTTATCTGGCTACTGATATCAGGTTTTGCTGAGCTGGGATATTTTAACTGGCATTTGAAACTTATAAAAATCAGGCTTGATTTAATACAAGTATTTCTAAGCGGCATTTCTTCCAAAGTAACTTTTTTCTCCTATTATCAGAGTAACTTATGTGTGTGACAAAGCCTCTGCATCAGCACAGACTCAACTGTACAAGAAGAGGATTGTACCAGAATTAGGTCTTCCATATCAGATGCATCTTTGACAGACTCAAATAAATGAGGAACAATAGTTTAACGCCGTCTTAAACTAAGCGCAGTTGTCAGCTGCTGTTTTTCAAACCAGCCATCTAGTGCTCTCATCCCTTCCTTGGAAAAGCAGAGATAGAGAGTCAGAGAATTAAATGTATCCCAAGGACTTGGAAATGAATGCTTTAAAAAAAAAAAAAAAAAAAGGAGGCACTGTGGTTCTTCCTGTATAAAGATTCGAGAAGGCAGCAGTGAAAAGGATTAAAGGCTTGTTTGGGGAAATTTTTGCAACCAGACAATTGCACAGAAGATGGCTCAAAACACTGAAAATTATTAACATAATAAAAATGAGAAAGTGTATATGGTGCACTCAGTTAACAATAAAATTTTGCAATTGCATCACCATGGTTGCTCTCAGAGCACAACAGCTCTAGTCTCACCAAAAGTGTTCTTGCTCTCACTGACTTGGACAGGGCTACTCGTGAATTTATCTGTTTATCTATCCTAAGAGCATATAAATTTAGAATAAAAACAAACAAACAAAACAAATGCAGAAACCTGCTCTCCATCTGCAGGATCACAGAGCCAGACCAGAGCCCAGGGGTGTCCCACACAGCAGAGTACCTCTGTCCCCAGGCTGCCCCAGAGCCAGCTCCACGTCCCACCCTCCCTCTGTTCTGTGGTAGCATGTGAGCAGTGAGCAAATACTGAACTGGACACAAGGATCAGTATCTTTTGGTTACAGCTCATCCTCTATAAATTATGACAAAAACCACACTTTTTGTTGTGGGGAATTTTTAGCTGGATCAGACCTATGGAGTATTACTGAAAAAAAGACAAGCAACCAAGAGAAGGGGAAAAAACCAACAACAAAGCAAAACAAAATCAATGAACCCCCAAAAAAACCAAAGAAATCCAACAAACCCCACAGCAACCAAGCCACCGTGTATTCAGTGAGAGTACATCAAATGTCATTGCTTCTGAGAAGGGTGCCAGTGGTGGAGCAGACAAGGTCACCTGTGTCTGGCTGCAGGTTTCCCTCAGTTTTGAGCACCTCGCCACATGCAACACGTGCCCAGAAAGGCATGGTGTGAAAAGGAAAACCCTGCCTAACAACATCGTGGCCGGGGTGACACAGCTTAACAACTGGCCATGAAAACAAAGAAAGGAAAAAGCCAGCACTGTACTTGAGAAGTGCTCGTTTGTCAACTTAATTCTTACCATACAATCAGATCAGTCAACTGCAAACACAGCTACAGATCTCTGTAATAAAATATTAATAGTTCTTGTATACTGCTTTCACAAGGTAATGCAGTAAAAAAACGAATGCTGCTTGCACATTTCCACATTTTCCCCTTTGTTACTTATGAAAGCTTACTTGTGAGAAAGCCAGTTTACTGTAGCATCATTCTTTTTTTTTTTTTTCTGGTTGTATTTTTCCCTTAAACCTTGGAGAATAATTAAAATTCCTTGCACAGGACAGTGGTAAATAAGATTAGGGTATGCATTTCAAATGTAGCATACTAATGGCATTTTTGGACTCTGTAATAAATCATCTCTATTCCCTGCAAGAAGTGGAGTAAATGGACAAAATGTCTGAAATACACAGCCCCATATATGTGTCCCGTACGTTCACTCTGATCTTATCTGTCCACATCTCTGACTTGCCCCGACATTTCGCTATTGTAGATACAGCATCACCTTTTTTAACACATCGCACAACAATCCAATAATCTCATTAACTGTAAACACTGTAGGAACACAGTGTTAGCAGCCTGCTAACACTCATGAAACCATTTCAGCCTTTGCTGGGGCCAGTTGTCAGTAATAAGCAGCCAAACATGCATTGCTCCATCTGATCCACTTGATCACTTGAGTTTGCAGTTTCTGTTTAGCACTGAACTGACAGAAGGGAAATGTTTCAGCATTCCACGTGAGGACCCCTTATTTCAATACACTGAGGCTGCTTTGGTGTGGTACCAAACCTTTGGGTGATCTCATCTCCCCCAGGGGTTTCTGACATTTATGTTTGTCCTGAGGAGCTGCAGTTTACCCCACTGCAAACAGGAAGATCATGACTGGGTACTTCCACTATCTGGTAGGTTTTTTCTCAGCTTGCTTTTCTTCTTCCTTCCACATAATGTTAGCACAAACTGTTGCTGTGTTTTGCATCTTCCCTTTGCTATTTCACACTGTGTCTATTGACTCAATTACAAATTTTGTTTCCTGACAGAGACAAATCTAGTTCTCCTGGTTCAACTCTGAGTTTAGGTAAATCCCAGCCCTCTGTTAAACCCTGCAAGGGTGAAATGGCCACACCTATGCTATGTCTGATAAACCCCGTCCTAGTTGCAAGAAATCCTACTGGTTTTGCACAGTAGGCATTTCTTAACATTTCTTTCCTCTAGGAAGTCCTTTTGGCTAAACAAGGATAGCAAACTAGTTTCTGTTTTTCAGTTTTCACAATTAGTAGAAATGAAAAAGAGCATAAGAGACTAAGTAATACGGAGTGTGGGTGCATTTATTTTCAGAAAATTGAATAGATAAAACTGAACTTTTTTCTTCCAACAGGCATTCCCCAAATCCCCTTTAAGTTTAATTTTCTGCTGTACTTTCCAGATAAGCATTCATTACTTCTCAGTTTTAGCTCACACAGCCAATATATATCAGAGAATTGTTACCCTCTAAATGCTCACTAACACCCTTCTCTCTTCAATAACTTCAGGTAGAGCAGGTACTCCTCACACAGGGTGGTGTTTAGGGTCTCCACAAGGATGAAAACTTTACTCTGGACTTCTGTTAGTCTTTACTATTGACTCTCGTGTCTCTCCGGCAATAGAAAGGCTGTCACTTCAGGGCCAGCCTTCAGAAAGCTTGAGCCTATTTACAGCAGCAGGAGCTGAGCATTGCCAGCTGACTTGTGCCTTATTTTTGGTTTGTAAGGAGGTTCCTTTCCTGCAGCAGAGGCACCAGCAGCATCACACCAGCCATCCCAGCCTGAGGGCAGGTGTGGACCCTGAGGGGGTTGGCACTAGTGCTGGCTCAGCTCCCTAAAGCTACTGCCAAGAAGGCAGCTGGAAGCTTTGAAGTTTAGTCAGAAATTTTGATGGAAGTTACCAAAAAGATAACTAGAAGCTGTTGAGGCTTTTCTCACATCAGGGACTCAGAAGTTCCAGTCACAAAAAGCTTAGAAGCGAGATCAGCAATTCAGGGAGATGGAGAATTTAATAATAAGACATCTGAGTTATTGTGACTGTAATGGCTACAACCACTTCCCAGATCATCTCAGCTGTCCAGAATGTGTCTGGCCTGGAGGATCTTGTTTAGAAATAGTTCTTTACTCTTTTGGGGAAGGTTTCTGAGGAAGCCAGAAAAGTTTGTGATACAACGATATTAACAAAGCTCACTCACACAAAAAGCAATTAAACAGAGAAATAAATGCACACTCATTTCCCACAGTACAGCATGCATGAAGTCCTCCCCTAATTGAGGAGCACCAAAGCAGGTGCCTGAAACATTCCAATGACTTTCCAGCACAAAATATTGTTGTATAGAGGATTTGGTCCCCATTTTCAGTTCAGTACTTGTAAAAAGCAGTGACCTGCTTCGAAGGAGAGTCAATCTATTAATTAATAATGGGAGACAAACTATGGTAACATCAAAACAATATGAGAAGGAAGATGTTACTGAGATCCTGTTTAGCTGTTCAGACATAGACAGCTCCCACACAAGCACAGAAACACACACAAACAGCCTGAGGTGACAGACACAGGAGTACACCCACCCCACTGCCCACATCACTCCAGCTCTGGGAATGTCCCCATCCCACTGCCCACATCACTGCAGCTCTGGGAACATCCCACCTCACTGCCCACATCACTGCACCTCCTGGAGTGCCCACAGACACAGCAAACCTCACACACCCGTCCTGCAGCAACTCAACATTTCTTTTTGACCCTGAAACAATCTGACATTACACTTGGAGATATCCAGCTCTCCAGAAGCACTTAAAAACCAGACACACCTCAAACAAGCAAAAAACCCTCCAGATTTCCTAAATCACTCACAGTTTCTTCAGTCTGTGACCCAGCCTTACTCAGCCTCTTGCTACAGCACGTTTTGACAGCTATAATTCATTTAACTACAAAATATGGGTCCAAGACACTTTCAGTTTTTCCTCCTCACAGGAAAGCCTTCTCATTTAACCCACTTCACAGCTTATTCTTCTGCTTATCAGAAGGAACAGAAAAGACAGGAATGAAGAAAAACACAGGCAGAAACAACTTCTTAGAAACAAATGCTTGCATTTCTTCCAGAAATTTCTAATGTTATCACTGTTATTGCTTGGCATCCTGCTCACCTCCTCCTCCATGCAAGTGTGAGCACCAGCAGGAGTACAGGTCTCAGAGGTGCTGCACACACAGCTCTGCTCCATAGCTGTCGCTCCTGATTAAAATCTGCGTGTGTATCCCGCTGGAGCGAGGCCGGATCTCTTCTCCAGGACTGCCGTCAGCCTGCGTAAGACCTCCACATAAAACAAAAAGGAAAAAAAAAATTAAATGCTGCAGTTCTTTTTGTTCGTCTGGCTCAGCAATGAACGTCTAAATATAAAATTGTCATTTAAGGTGAGCTCTGTGTCCCAAGACAACGAGCTGGCATCCTGCAAAGCCAGGCATGTATTTGCAGTTGCTGCCATCCAACATTTTGCGTTAAGAACAAGATTTAAGGGTCACGCTCTGTTATTTGTTACCTACTTAAATTACTCTTCCAGCACGTGAATATCAAACATTGCAAGAGCCAGATGAATGCCTGTAAAAAACTATGGTAAGAAAAAGTAAGATTGATATGAACAATGTTCTAACCAAATGTTTATTGGAAACAAGTAGCACCCTGACTCCACTGATGTTTCACTCCTCTCTGCCAAGCCTTAAATTGGATGACATTACTCCAAATGAGGAATAAAAATTTCCGTCCTTAATGTTGTCTCATTTGAGCTTTGATTTATAAGTTCTGGATTTTGCACATGAAAGCATTTTTAAGAAAATCCTACAAATTAGGTCCCCTAATATAAACAGCAATAGTAAAAAAAGGCATCACCAGGCTACTTTTGATAACTTTTTTTCCCATAACAAGTTTCCTGCAAACCAGGTGTTCTTCCATGTTTATTTTCAAACTTTTCTTCTGTCTCTCCAACTTTAAGGGGAAACGGATTCAACATTTTCGAGCATGACTTGAAGTGCTATGAAGAATTATTGGTCTGGGGAGCAAGGAGGACTTGCCACTCAAACATTTTTGGTTCTGGTGCCCAGAACATGGTCATCCTTCCATAGACTATTTCTAAAGCTGAATGCTTGGAAAAGTCCTGTCAACAGGATGCTGCAGCAGTGTTCAGCTCATTCTGCCCCTGGGAGTCTAGCATCACTAAAAACTTCCTGAGAAATTCTGAAGGAAAAACCCTTCCATTTTGACTTTAAAAGACACCATTGCAGGGTGCAATTAGCATTGTCTCATCACTTCTTTCATACCAGGTAATTTAAACTCCCTCATGTAACTGCAAACCAGTCTGTAATTATCACTTTTTTTTCTTTTCATTCTCTTCTCTTGCTTCTAGGAGGGAGACATCCAGCTGTAACAGTGCCACTTCCACCTTAGCACGACAACACATTTCTTGCTTGCAGTCAGCTCCAGGGAGTCACTGAGCAGCACAGGAATGGCCAGCCCATGGAGGACAATTCCAGACCTCCCAGCCAAGGGACTCTGTAGTAAGGATATGGTGCTGCCATGGAGAGCCCCCTCACATAATAAAAGAAAACAAGCCCTAAACATTTACTATTTGGGGTTCCCCTGAAGGCAAGGAAAGGGTTCAAAACCGTGCAAAGTTAATTGTGCAAGGGAGTTAGTACAAGGGGTCACTATACACAAGGGGATGACTGTCCCTCGCTGCAAACCCTGGGCACAGATGTCCTTCATAGCACTGAGATGGAAGGGAACAGTCATCAGACAAGCACATCCCTCTGTGCAGCCTTTAAATTGCACCCCTGATCCCTCCCGCGTACCTGAACTGCCCACCTGCATTTCCACAGCACCTCTTTACGCCTTCCTGAGCCTTCACTGGCTCTTGCAGAGCTGGCTGGTACAAAGTGCCACAGGACCTCCTGCTGTTTTCCAAAGCAATAATCCCCATAAAATTTAACAGCTCCCTGAGGGTGGAGTTGGGAGGAAGCAAATAGAAAACCGAAACAAACATACAAGAACTTTCCAGCATGAACAACTGGGAAAAGGTCCTTTGAATCACCAGGTCAAAATCTCACAGCATTGTAGCTTGATCATTATGGGCTCTTATTTCCCATAATCTGCTCCAGGTGAGGCTCACTGACAATGCCAGAGACATCTATGGAAGCAGATGCCTTGCAAATTACTGGAGAAGCCAGGGATCATCCTGGTTTGGTGAGAGCCCCTGCTAAATACTGCTAAATGTTCCTCCTCCCTGTGCCTCTGCTCCTGCTCTCATGGGCACTGTGGTCCCAGGAAACCTTCAGGCAACAGTGCTTACAATCCCTGGCCCTGGGTGCAGCTGCAGCCCTGTCCCAGGAATTTGTAGGAACACCCTAGATAAACACCCCAGTCTGTGCACACACACCATCCTCAGGCACAGGGGCCACCGTGGTCCCCAAACACTGTGATGCTCCCTCAGCCATCACACCCTCACGATCATCATGAAGAAAACTTGTATTTCTTTTAAGGCCTCCCCCCAGCACCAAGCTCCAATCAGATAGTTCAGAAATGCTAGTTAAAAATAGACAGAACTCCACCTTTTGTTCTGGAACAAGTGCAATCATTTAAACTACTGTTAATAATGTCATTGCCAGGTAGTTGCTCTCACAAGATACCTGACACATAATCTATTACCATCAGCTTACATTCAACTACAAATGGGATGCAACAGCATTTAAAGCTATATAGAGCTCTTCCAGCTGGATTAAAAAAAAACATGAATGAAAAGCAAATATGCATTTTCTTTGCTCTTCTCTCCGTCTGGCTCATAGCTCAAGGTCTGCATAGGTTGTAGGGGGTGATTTTTAAACTCCCACAGTCTTCTCAGAGTTTGTTAACAAGAAAAGCTAGATTTGAGCTACCAGCACTGCAAGACGCCACTGTAATATGACAGCAACAGTCTCATCATTTTACCCAACGATGTTCCCATTCACAGAAGCACACTGCTGATCTTCAGCCAAACATGCAGGAGAAAATAGCATTCATGCTCCCTGGTACTGCTGCTTCTCAGTAACCCATTACTGCACTGAAGCAGGTCCAAACCCCTTTCTCAAAGTCATTCCTTCTATCAGCTCTTCAGAGAGGTGGTAGAAGGGGCAAAAAGCAGAACATCTCCAACTCAAGGGTCCTTTACTCACCATGGGGTACAATCACTGACCTCGGGACATCAGTGAGACAGTACAGCAGTGTTAATGTTCCCCAGCAGGCAGGTCTTCTTGGTTCCCTTGAAAAATCGAGCCAGACCTGCCTAAACCTGAAAACAAGGCTGTGGAAATGCTATTCTCTGCAAATCCCAGATTTCTGCAGAGGGAAAAGCTCCCATCTAGCCACCTGCACAGGCACGTACCTGGGGCAGAGAGCAGAAATCACAATTTTGCATCTCAGACAGGGACACAAGAAACCCCTTCCCTGCCTGTTACTGATATTCAGCTCAATGCTGAGGTGAAGAGTCAGGCAATGTCTCAGCCTGAACCATCTCTGATAACCACAAAGTACCTTTACCTGCACCCTTGGCTCAACAAGCAGTTGGCTCCTTCAGCACTGAGGGAGTTTGCTGGCAGTGAAATCCTCACAGTTCTGACCCTTTACCTCCAATTCAAATATTTGCTTTTAAAACAGCAAAAAATATTTAAGTGCTGTTAGTATTTGGCAGGTATCTTTGGGAGAGAGACAATCTACAATCAGCAGGAAATACGGCACCAATTCTGACTTTTTGTATATTCTATACATCATTATAAGCACACAATGTGCATATGATTTTGGTTCAATAATGTGGTTTCTTCTCATAGTTGCATCTGGGAAGACAATCTCTTCTAGAAGGTGTCTTTTCTGTCAGTGAACAATCAAAGAGGTGTATTTGGCAGGATGCTTCTTTCTCTTCCATCATCTTGGATTTTGGCTTGGTTTGTGTTTCTTATACCTAACCTCTTATTTCCAGCTTTTGTACCCACCAGTATTTGAACTGTGCTTAGCCAACACCAAAGCCCAGACATCACATACTTGCAATCTTGGCAAGTTTTATGGATTCTGACAAACGTGTAGCTGAATTTCTCACTAATCTTTCAACAGGACCATAACCCTCAGCACCTCTAAAAGAACTTTTACCCTTCAATTCCTCTGTGCCATGCACACATCGACTGAACAACACTCCACAAGACCCTATTAAATCTTTAAAGCTTCAGGAAGTACATACAAATTTTATACCACATTTGAGAAAAGAAACTGAGCTCAGTAGCAGAGACAAAACAGAGAAAAACTGGCCAGAAGAGAGGACTGATTTAAGAGTTACAGCAGATCACTAACTGCACCTAAGTCAAAATCTCAATGAAAACAGATAAATCTCTTTTTGGACTTATCAGCAAGTGTGTCATCAAAACAGTGGCCTCAGATCAAGTCCTTAAACATCAAAAAATGTTTTTGAAAAATGTATTTTCCCCCCACCCCCCCTCCCCAAATGTTGCTGCTTTAACTTGCAGTTGCATCTCGTTCCTGGCTTTCCCCTTTACCACAGGATCATGAGCCTAAGAGATGCTCCAACTCTGACACTTTCAGGCTACTCAGATTTCCCCAGGAGCTGTGGTATTGGCACCGAATGCCACAATGCCAGTAAAGCCATGAGAGTCAGCAAAACCAATAAGCACTGGACACCCCTTAAGGAAGCTTTTCCCAGCACCCTGAACCCCCTTTCCTCACAGAGAACGCACCAGGGCTACTGTAGAGGCTTCCACACTTATCTCCTCATCAGAGGAGTCTGTTGTACAGGAGAATGGTGGGAGAATGATGCTCCCTGGAGGTGCTTCCAGGCCTCATCAATTCACTGTGGTGCCACAGTGCTGTACTTGCTTTAAATTCAGGTTTCTTAGGCCACATGCATAAAAGACAACCTCAGCCTAATTTAAAACCAAATACATCTCTGCAACTTCTGATCCATAAAAAGCTGGAAGACACTGGAAATGCGCAGTTCTCAAAGTATACTGGAAAAACTACATGTTACTGTGTAGTTTGGGGGGGGGGGTTGTTTTGTTCTGGTTTTTTTTCAAGCACTGCTATATGTTTGCAAAGATTTAAGGGCCAAATGCTGCACGGAGCAGAATTTCATTCTGAAGCAGCAGATCAGTATAAAGAACATGAGGAAGTGCCAAGACCTTGCATTTTGCTCTGTGTGTTGGCAAAGAACTGTGTTCCCAACAGAGAAACAATCCCTATGTCCTTCCTTTAAAGCCACTTCCACTATGGTAAGTCCAGGGAATTAAAATTTCAGTTAAGATCTGTTCTTACAGAGCATGTTTTTGCTTCCAGGATGCTCTAGCTAAGTTCATCCGACCCACCACTCCATACTTACATAAGCTGTTGGCTGTTACCTGTTGTGCCCAATAGACATGTCCTGACTCCTAAGGGACTTGCACACACACCTGCAGCAAGGAGAGTGTCTCAGATCTAGTCACACTCATTTCACTTGACAGCTACATCTTCAGCCCTAGGCAAGAGCTCCTCAGGGCTGATATTTCAGGGAAGAACAGTTCCTTGGCATGTCTTTATTCTGGGAGAAAGCATTTTTGATTGGGTTTCTGCTTCCTCATTTTCCAAAAGCATTTTCCAAGCCCTCTACTTAGAGCTGTTGTTTTTATGATCACGTTGTTCACAGCTCAAATCCCAGTGCTGCAGCTCAGGATTGCTGGGGTGAGCCAAGCACTGGTGGGCAGCCCCAGAGATGACAAACCCCTCAGGGGCACACAGCCCATGTTCACATGGGCTCACGTCACCCGTACAAACAGCGTGTTCCACTCTGTTGCTTTCCTCTCAAACTGCTCTAAGTTTAAACAGCTCTAAGATGCTTTCAACCATCAAATAATAGAGGCTGTGAGCTCCTTGCTAGCAGCAGCAGCAAGAGCCTGTGCCTACTACTTGAAGGCAAATTTCTGTCTCCAGCAGGAGTTCCCCAACTTGCTCTGCTCTGCTGCATCCTTTCCAAACAGCTATAAATTCAGGTTATTGGAAGACACTTAAAGCTTTCAAAAAACCTGAAAACCTGAGCTCTGCTTCTCTCTGACATTTTCTCTAAGAGCCATACAGAAACTTGTAAGGCAGTTTACTGCAGGTTTGCCCAAACTCACCCCTCAAACCAGGAAGCACCAAAACAACTTTTACTGTTATCTTCTTCAGCATACAGAAATCTAGGCCACCAAGCAGCCCTAAAGTGGCTTAAAAGGTGTGCTGGGGTTCAAACCTAATCTGGATGGACAGAGTTTGCAGTATCAGTATGTGTTTAAATGCATTCATATGCATCATATATAAAGTGCAGCAATCAGACCACTTTATTTTTATGCCCTGTGATCCACAGCAACAAGGATTGAGTTGGTTTTGAAAAAAAAATGCCCTGGTTTTGTTCTATTATGCTACCAAAAACCCCCCAAAATATAACACTTATTCCTAATCTTCCCTGCAAAGTCTTGCCTGATTGCCTGTTGTCTGCATTATCCCAAAGGGAACATAAAAGCAGAGCAGTAAAGAGAAAAAAAGAGAGAGATGCTGGTGGGATGAGAGAAAGGATTGCCAGGTCATCCTTTGCTCATCATAGCATTTGCTGATTTTTCAGTTAACAGCTCTTGCCACTGTCCTATTCGAGTCTTTGACCTTTTTTCCCCTAAGGGCTTTTCCAAGCAGTTATGGCTGTTTCATTGCCTGGGCCCAGCACCGCAACCATCAACAACAGGGCTATGCTGCACCCAGTGGCCGGCTGGAAGGATTTAGGTTTGAACGGCGAAAACCTGCAGGGTCTTTCCTCTATGCTTTTGTAGTTTGCAAGGCCTCATTCTCCATGCTGCAGCCATGAGCCAGCTGGAAAGCAGTGCCTGATCCTCCTCCTCTGTTTTCTCAGCTGTTTTAACTACGTGGATTATGAGGGTGTAGCGGTGGTTCCTTCCTGGCCCCTATTAAACCCTGACAGAGGAGCACCACAAAGTCCTCACAGCCACAGCCCCTGGTCTGCCATCAGGTCTGTTGTCTGGAAGCTCTTTTACAGCAGGTAGCCAGTAGCACAGACAGATCCAGACTGCAGACTGAGAAATGTGGCTGTTTTCTCCCCTTGAATTCATACTGGTCTTTATTTTGCTGACAAAGACCTGGCAAACTCCATCTCCTGTGTTGCAGCTGCCATCTGCAGGTACCCCGAGCTCCTCGCTGGGGAACAGCCTCTCCCGGGAATGGAAAAGGGGATGTGTCTGGCAGAAAGGCTTTTCCTCCCCATCCACTTCGCTCACTGTATTTCTACCTCCCATCTGTGAATCCCTTCTCCCTTTCCCTCCTCTCTGCTTTCTCCATATGCTTGCACCACTAACATCTATATTCTTCCTCACCTTCTGCCCCTCTGCTGATCAGGCAGAATTGCAGTCTAAGCTTTCAGTCACCCCCAAGCATCAGAAATAAACATAATCCCTCATCCTTCCTCAAATCTCACCCTTCCTCAACAACAGCAAGGAAACTCACTGCCAAAGCTGCCCTCTATACTTTGCTGGGATGCCACTACTTAGCACAAAACCACCAGAAAGATCAAAATCCCCTACATTATCAGGTGATCCCCTCCTGTCCTCGGAGGCCCCTTCAAGCCCCTTCATTTGCAGCTGCTTCCTAGTGTTGCCCCCCCAGTCAGGGTCAGGAGCAGTGATTTCGGCAGTGACTTTGCTGGCACCTCTGAGACTGTCCCACATCTGAGGCTAAACAGAAACACAGTTTCACATCCTGCCTACCCCCTAAACCACTCCCTGATCAGAGATCAATCCCTCTCCCCGTATCAGCATGTTAAAGCTACAGCACCCTGTCCTCTCATTCTCAAGCAGAGCATTTTTTAAATTATCTACCTACCTTTGGAAGTAAAGCTCCTGTTTTATCAAGGCACACACACCACGCTACCTTTTATCATCTTGTCAGCAAGCTGAGAGGGAAAACAGCAAAACATGATTCTGTTAGAGGGAAAAGCTCGTTTTCACAGCCCAAAAATGTTTTCAATTACCTTCTCTCCCTGCTGCAAAACCCTACTCGTGAAACATGCAGACCCCAAAGGGGAAAAGCAGGTACCTTAGCATATCATAAAAGCAAATAGGCAAATACTGGCCCTGCTTCATTTCTAACCATCCCCTTCTCAACCAGACACAAGCCTCCCCCCACCCTGAGCAAGTCTTTGAGCGCGAGACAGTTCTACAAACCTGCACTGACAAATACTTTTATTTTCTACCATGCACCTCGTGACATCTCATAATAAACACCTCAGAAACATGGTAGATGGCAACTAAACTCCCTTATCTCAGTCTGGGTACAGGAATGCCTTTGCTCATCTTCTGGCTTTGAACTGTATTAAGACCAAAGACAAAGAATAAGAATTAACAGTTTGAAGTGCTTGGTTTTGTACCCAAAATCCTACCATGACTTGTGTTTTCATTTCCTCTGTCCACTGCCTGAAAAAATGCTGCTTTAGGGGAGGTAACAGAGCTATTTGATATTTGTATCAACACATATTGTGCAGGTTTGGAATTGTCCAAGCTACTAAAAAAAATATTTTAACTCCAGCAAACAAAGTTGTGATCTTTGATTACCATGAATATTCAGCAGAGGCAGTGTAAAACCATGCTCAGCAGTAGCTCTGCTACTCATAGCTTAGTCTTTGCATAATTCAAGACTTTCTTTTGATAGCGAATCAAGGCTCTGTGTGGGCACCGAAACAAACCTGACAGAGCTTGTGAGAGCTAGAAAATCATTACCTAATCTAACACAGCAGCAGGCAATATTCCTCTTCCTCCTCCATTATCTTCACAATCCAAGGTAAGAGCCATGCTGAACACAACCACCATGCAAGCAGGGTATCAGAAATGTGCCCCTCCCTACCATGTCCCCCAGAAGAGCTCAGAGATGAGCAATTCTGCTCATCCACATGCAGATCCAGCAGGATATAAAAACAGAACAGTAAAAAAAACAAAAGCAGAAATGGTCCCAAAAATGGGCACAGGAAAGGGAGACCCACAAGGCTTCAACATCACTTTAAGAGAAACACACCAGCTGTATTAACCATGTGCTTTGCCACCGCACTGGACACAAGCACCAGGGACTGGGGACACTCCCTGATGGTTAAAAGGAGAGATTAAATAGAAAAATACATACACGTGTTTCCTAAAAACTTCTTTGCAGTGTGAAGATTTTACGTTTCCTCCAGATTTGAACACGCCCAAATGGTCAAATAGCCTCATCCCTGCCAGGGGGCACACACTGCTGGGTCTCCTTCCTTCCGGGGCTCAGCAGGAACTTGGGGAACATAGGGAAGGTGAAATGGGATAAAATGAACAGAGGTGTGAATGGCCCTATGAAAGTTTTAATTAAAACAGAAGAGGTACCATATTAAAGAGTAAAGAGCAACAATGCTTTTAAGTAGGACAAGACTGGCAACTGAGTGCAGATCTCTTGCAACATCACAACACTTGTGCATCCATATCTGCCCCCTCCAGACAAGGGGGTTTCATGACTCCATGGACAGCGCCCACAAACTGCAGGGAAGCCCTGCAAGGAAGGGAGGTAATTCCCACTCTCCTGATGAAGCTCTCACCAAGAGGAAATTTCATAGTTGGATTCCCACACAAGCTCATCAAGTCCGGCACAATTAAATGAGTTCCTCATTAAAAAGCCCAACGAAACACAGGCTTGTCGGAGTGCAGTACCTCACCATGCAAGTCACTGCAGCCACATCTGCCAGCAGAGCACTGGAGACAAGTGTCTCCATACATCCACATCAGGTGAGCCAAGCAGAGCCTGAACTAACACCGAGAGAGCTTTAAATAACAGTACTGTACAAAGCTATGCTATAGCCAGACCCAGCTATACCAATTGTCACCCAGAAACTTCATCTCTGCCTTTGTGAGTGGGAGCTGAGTGCAGCTCAGCCCCTGGGGTAGCTCTCCAGTGATGCCAGGAGCTGCCAACCAGACCCTGACCCCCTGCATCCAATCCACCACGTCCCCCCTGCTAACCCAGCACGAGCACAGCAGCTCACTCACTGCCTGTCCCCAGTGCAGCTGTAGTGACAGGTTTATTCCAGTTTAATATTAAAGCCTGGAAGACTATTTGCATAATTAAACATTGATCTGCTCTCCCTCTCTGCATGTGCTTCTAAATTCGTGTGAAATACATTAAAGCAGTGTCTGCCTCAGGACAGATCCTGCCACCTTTGGTCTGGAAGGAATCTTTGTCCATATTCACTTTTTGGACTCGGACTGGCTATTTCAGCACTGGGCTCATGAAAGCAAATGACTCCCCTTTCCCCAAGGAAAGAAAGCCTGTAACTTTTGGGTGTCAGTGATAGGTTGTGGGCTACCCTGGGCACTCCATAGGCAGCAAGTGTGTCCAGCCACCTTTTTTCTAGGACGAATCTTCATTCATATTCAATTTTGGGAGTCAGACTGGCAATTTCAGTGCTGGGCTCCTGAAAGCGAACGATAGCCCTTTGCTCAAGGAAAGAAAGCCCTTAGCCTGTATGTCTCAGGTCTGGGTTTTGGGCCACCCTGCAGATGTAATGTGGTGCCTGTCCCCTACAGAAAATTCTGTCCATCTTTAGAAAAACCTGCAGAACTTCTAAAACGTAAAACCAAGGTGAAAGGCCAGGGGCATTTTCCTTTCTACCAGGGAACAAAGGAAGAGAAACAAAGGGACATGGGGATTAGCTTCCAGGCTGGCACAGGAGAGGGGATATAATTGCTAGGCTTTGCTACTGCAATGCCGGTAATCTTCAGCTGTGGGTGTTTGGACAAAACAGCACACCCAGAATAAGCAACAAAATCACAAGCAAGAGGTATATTACAGAACTGGTTTTCAAAATGTATTGCAAGCTACTACCAGTGGGCATCCATGAACCCACCTTTTTGTCAAACAGTAATTGAGAAAGTGTAATGCTCAAGCAATCCAAAGTAACTTTTTATTATTAAGTATTTTTGAGAAACGAGAGGATTCTGCCTGATAAAAAAGAAAGAAGAGACCCTGAGACCTGTAACTCAGATATATGGCTACTGGAGGTCAGCATGCTGTCCCAAAGCTCATCGTCCTTCCTCAGCTGAACCTCAGTGGGAACATAGGTGGAAAAGCAAAACAGTTCTGGGAAGATATTGGATAGCACCATGGAAATGCAACTGGTCACAGAGGAGAGTCTGCAAAATCCCAGGGTGAGCTTACACAGCTCTGCATAGTCAGGAGTGGGACAGGAGTTGACTCTCATCTAAAGGAGAATCAGCCGTACCTTTTCCTTTGGGAAAGAGACGACACCAGTGAAATCAGTGACAGAGCAGTTCCAGTGCTCCTGGTAAAAGGGAAGAAGAAATTGCAGCCCACCACAGACAATGTGGGGAAAACAGCCTAAAAACAATATTAAGGTTAAAATCTGTATGATAGTTCTGTTGACCAGTCAAAATGTTTGCTTTTGTCACCATGCTAGGAAAGCATTTCAAAGGGCACACACATGCACAGGATTCGTGCTGAGACGACTCTGCATTTGATAGAGAAAAACTAATAAAATCTCTCTCTCTCATACATACGGCTGCTCAGGGGAGACAGACAAAACCAAGCCAATCTCCATAACAAAGTCAGATGACAAGGAAAGACTTGGGAGAGCACTTGTGGCAATGCTGACACCTGGGGTAATTTTCCCATTTTGGAAGAGGGTCATCCCAAAGCTGCCAAAGTTTGCCAGTATCCATCTTCAGAGGGGCATTGCCACCCCCGGCCTCAGCCCAACAGAAAAGCAGGAGCATTTTCTTCAGCTGCCCAAATTTTCCTGGTTTTCACACTCAAGCCATGAGCACAAGCTGCCCCAAACTGGGACTGAAGGGGCCTCCAGCTGCAGAACTGCATGATGGGAAGAGGATTTTTGCTCCTGGCAGGAAGGGGCTGAGGCAGCCACCAGGCAAGGGCAGGAATGCAGGCTCTCCATGGCAACTTCAACAGGCAACACCAGCAATGCCACTTTGGGGAAATTTCTTCAGCGTACGAGGTGTAATTTGGAAATAAACCACTTCTCCATGTAAATTGTACAAAACCAACCCCACAGAATGCATGAAAAAACCCAAGTGCTCAAATTAATTGCTTTCATGGGAGGCAACCAGTAGATAAATAGCCAGCGTGAATATTTTAAGTTCCAATTTCTATCCTGTGCTACCATAAATTATTTTCACATTTAAATAACAAACTTGTATTTAAGTCAATCTGGGTTTAACAGTTGAGTCACAATTGAAAAATATCAGGAGAATCCTACTTTTGCTGCAAGCACTGATTATTCTGTATTTCCAAAATTGTAAATGAAGGATTGTAACCTTTCCCCCCTAGCTATCACAGAATAAAATTGCATTGGATTTTTTTTCTTTTAAAGTCTTTCTGAAATTTTTACTGAGACCTATCAGAATATCTTTTGTCTGCATCAAGTCTTTTCTTTATATGAATAAATACTGAGATTGTGGCAAGTAGTTGAGTTGTTCTGCCTAACATTTATAAAACTTGTTTTGCCTTTCGTTTTGGGCCCTTCCTTAAAGGTCAGCAAGCACCACACTTAATCTGACCTGTAATTACTCTGGTAAACATGGCTAAATAGGTAAATGCCAGTGTATTTAAGTATATAACATTAAATGCACTGCTTCCTGTTCCTAATGCACTAGTTAACAAGAAAAGCAGAACTACAGCACTTCTCTACTGCTGATTTATAAGCCAAGATGAAATGGAGCTTGCATGTCTTTCAACTGACTGGAAAGGCCCTTTTCCTCCACAAAATTCACTGATTACTTCTACCTACTCTTCTTCAGGAGCTGAAGGAGGACAGAATAAAATAGCTGTTTTGCATGAGCAAGGAAATAACCCAGGTGCAACAGGTCAGCCCATAATGTAATATACTCATATCAGCTTCAAGGCCCCACCTGAATTTTGGCAGTCATCTGTTACATTGATCAGATTACCTGGTGACAGTGAAATCCAAAGGATGCATATTTCAGAGCCTTCCATGAGGAAGGAAGCCAGGCAAGCCAGGGAAGTAACCAGTATCACATCCAGACAGTGTCACGTGCCACCAGCAAGCAGAGCCTTGCTCAAGGACAGGGTCACCCTCTCCCAGGGGAGAACAGCAATAAATCCACGAATTTAATGAGTTATGATAAATGAACCAAGAAGGAGCATAGGATCATGTGTGCAGGGAGCACAGGGAGGCCACAGGGAGTTTTCCCCAGCAGCACAGTGGGGCTGGGAAAGAAGTGAGAACCACCACCAAAACAAAGGGGAAGCTGCAGGGAGCTCCAGTTTGGAGTCTGCTGGCTCCTGCTGACGGGAAAAGCAGCCCTGAGTGGACATGTCAGCCGCTTCCCTCCTCACCCTGCTCAGACACAGCCCCCTGTTGAGTGAGCTGCCACAGCATCTCTGCTAGTCTGGGCTCACAAATCACATCCTGGCTTCTCCACGCTCAACACATTCACAGTCTGGTTTTCCCACATCCCACCCAAAATCTCTGAAAGGTCCTGCTGTCCCTGGAGTGCCTCTTCTGTAACTTCCTACAGGGCTGGACCACTAAAGCCCAACAGTGGCTGCACAGTTGTATTTCTCATCTGTGCTTCCATGTGCTATTTCCTCAGCGGGAGGGCAGTGGAACATTATTTCTACACTTTAAAACCTAACTTCTTCTGTAAGGCTTCTCTGCTACCTTTGCCCGTAATCAAAATATAATTTTTCAGCAGCATTTGCATTTCTCCTGTGAGAATGGAGCATAAAAGCAATTCAAAGCCCTAACAAAAGGAATCACAGGTTTCTGTGTAAAAACAAATAGCTCTCATCCGACTAAACCCCACAGCTACTGCAAATCACTTGATACAATATTTAATACAAATACCAGACTCCAGTCCCTGACTGAGCCAGGATAAAGAACCTACTCTAAAAAATAACCACCTTATATATCACCCCACATATCAATGTTAAGTGAAATGAAATAACAAAATCATAATTTCCCAACCATGACTCTTGTCAGAGCCCAGCCTAAGAAAATTGTCAGCCAGTATTTGACTAATACTCGCATTAATTTCATTGAACCCACTGAAGACTGCTATGAGACTGTTAATGCACTGCCACTGCCACATGCCAGGATAGAAATAGCTAAATCAGATCAAGACTAGTTCATTGTAAGCAATGAAAATCTCCTGTCAATCTAGGAAAGAACACAGTACTTCTCCCCATGAATAGATCACAGGCACAAAGCAGGCACAGTAGGAGCAGAGGTGCATTAACTTCAATGTTAAATACCCACTTTCTGTGCTGTCATTTGCACAGGCACGACACCAGCACTCAGTGCAGCTGCAGCAAGGGTGCAAACCCTGCTGGGCTGTGAGGGGTGGCCAAACCACAGCAAAGGCTGCCTGAGTCTGACACCAGCTCCCAGCCTCTGCCAACTGGCCTACACATGCTACAGAGCCATCTGAAGTTCAGGTCATAACTTCTGATATCACTTGCAAGAAGAAAACTGCAAGAGTTTTTGTCAAAAGGCCATTTGTCACCAGCAAGTCTCCATGCATGGAGTGGACTGGGAGCCTCCACAGAGAGCTTAGTCTCAAGGGAAACATATGCTAACTGATGCATCAAAACTGGAATTGTGCAATTCCCTATATCACTCCCAAATCTGATTATTGGTCCCCCATCAAGCATCATTAAAACATATTCGCATAGTCTCTCTTCAGCTGCGTGTACACTACAAATAACTCATATTTTGTGGTAAGTCTGCATGTGCCAAATGTGATATTTACACATTATTTAAGTTTTTACATATCCCTAAGAGCTGAACAAATTAATACTTTGATTAACTTAGCCATTTGCTCATGTGCAATTATTTTCTAAAATTAATGCATTATTTAAATTTATTCAATAAAATAGCTTCTAGGGTGTTTCTTCTCTGGGTTCATTATAAGCTCTGAAGATCAAACATTCCTCATTTGAGCTGTGTGGCTTTGATTATAATTGTTAAGGTAAATCACAGGGCACTCCAGCTCTCCCTGGATTCGACAAGTACAGGCACACTCCTGCACACAAGTCAAATTTGGCACTCAGGGCAGACAACACAACCTTGCCATTTGCTCTGAGCAAATGCTCAGCCAAACAAATTCAGACAAAGGTTTGTGAAAAGGGAATGGGAAGGGTCCATGACTGCAGCTTGAGTTAATTCTCTACAAATACTTCCACAGGACACCTCTCCAGGATCCTCCCCAACAGCAACATCCTGACAGTAAGACCTTATATGCACACTCTGGGATTTCCCAGTACACAGGAACAGTTATTAAACTGCATCATGTTCTTTGTTTAATTTATAATACACTCTCTTTTCTACATGCCCTATATAATCTCTTTTTAATAGGTAATACAGTTGTATATCACACTGTGTGCCAGCATTTCCCATGGGGAGGCTGGGACGTGCTCTCTGACGGTGCTGGCTCCAGTACAGAGATTCCCTGATGCTCCTGCTCCAACCAGGAGCAAGAGTGTAAATATATGGCTTGTAATCAGCATTCAGCACCAAGGAAGAAGCACAAGGGGGAAAACAACATCAGAGTGCTTCGTGCCAGGGAAGGCTTTCAAAACACGGATGAGTCCTTCACAGTCCAAACTATCTGTTGTCTTTCTAGTGTACATCTGAAAAACTACCAACAAAAGCAATTAGCTCTAGAGAAATATTTAATTCCCAGCAATACATCTAACTACTTTGCTCTTGCTTTTTAATTGGAAAACATGCTACCGAGAGCATTTCCTGCAGATTTTGAACTGACCCTGCCATCAGCACGAGTCTCTCTGGGATTTGCATTTATCATGGTACAACTTTATCAGTAACAGCAATTAGTAATTTTTAGACACTGATTTGTCTGTACCAAGCCTCACCTCAAAGCTCAGAAATAGCACTCTTAGGTGTTTTGGAAAGTTTTTCCAGCTTAATCATAACCCAGTATAACCAAACTTAAAACATGCACGCACCCTGCCCACTGATTACAGGTACAGAGAGCACCGGGCACATCTCTCTTTATACAAAGAGCTGTCTTAACAACACAAGTCCACCTTTATTTTAGTGTCTTGTCTCTCTCAAGTTCCCCATGGTATGCACTAAACTTAAGTACAGTCTTTATTCTGACTGAACCAGACATATAAATGTGTGTATCCTCAAGTAGAGAGCACTTGATGACAGGTAACTTCTAAGTCAAAAATACATAGAGCATGGGGTACAACAATTAGTTCATTATCTCTTGGCTAGTCATTGAATTAAGGTCTTCTCAGTGACCAGAAACCAAACTGAGAACGGTAAAATGTCCTGTACTTAAGTTCATTCAGATCTGTTCAAGGTCTTCATAGGACTTCAAAGTCCCAGGGTTAACTTTGAGCAACTGAGCCACTTCTTAAACTCAAACGGACCCGATTTTGATTGTGGTAAATGTAAGTAATACACCACTTAAGTCACTTATCCAGTCGGAACGCAGTAAATAAAATCAGAGTTCAATGAGCATTTTCCCCTCACCTTGGGGGAAAGCAGTACACAGCATTCCAAAGGGTGCAGAAAGTGTCATTACACTTAGTGAAAACATTGCCCCTTAAAATGAGCTGACAAGTCCTTAAAAACATGGAGTGTTGCCTTTAAGAGAAGGCTCTTGCAGAGATTCAAGTTTTTGCCATATGGTAAGCTACTGTGAAGGACAGCAATTATAACATTTTTTCAGTAAAACTTAGCCCCTACTGCCACCTGCAGTTCCTACAAAAAACACTCTCTGATTTAGTGTTTCGATTTCCAAGCACAAGCTGCTGCACACCCGTGGGTACAAAACAGGGGTGCCACCTCAAATCAGGCAATGTTAAGGGTCGTCCTTCACATAACATTGAACTGCTCTGTGATTATATGAGAGTGGGTCACATTCTGTTCTCAACCACACTCCCAACACCTGTTAAAATACCACCAAACTCGGTGGGATGCAGCCTAGAGAGACCTCACAGGTCAGAGTTCTGGCCCTGCAGTGTTTACTGTCCCCTGTGAAAGTGAATTGTGCATATTAAAATACACAAACCCTGATGACTAACAGCATCTGTGTAACGCGGCCCGGATATGGACACGGGGAAGTTCACTCACGGTTCAACACAGGCTGCAGACTGGAAAAGACTGACTCACTTCATTAACATGGCTCCCCCTTTTATAGGGGAGCTGGGAGAACTTTCCAGACTATGGTGAATAAGGGGAGGAGTTTTGGGAAAGAGGAACAACGATCGGGTACAGAGTATAAAGGGGAGGGATCACAATAGAATATGCATAAGTACGAAGTGGAACTCTTGTGGGAACAAACCATTACAACATGGGGATAGGAATAAACCATTACTTTAAAACATTAAAACAGCCATAAACTTGTAATTTCTCTCCATTCAACAGTCTCAGTTAAGCAAGTCCATTATTTTAAATCCATTCCTCTTCTTCTGTGACTTCTTTCAATGCCGCAGCCCAGCGCTGGTAGGCTTTTCTCTCTAATTGTTTGGAGTCCACACCCACATCTGTGTGCATCTCCATTTCTTCCTCTGGTCTTACCAATCTGGCATGAATGTTGGCAGGGCCCTCATCTCTTCTGTCTCCTCTGCTGTACTCCTGAGAGCTCCACTGTGTTCCTTGTGGCTCTGCCCTGCCAGAGCAATGCCGGCCCAAACCCGCCTGTTGCAAATAAATAAATTTTAAAAATTGAAAAGAACCAAAAATACTTTTTAAGAAGTACTCACTAACATACATGTAAGGGATCCAGTCACTGCTTCAGGGGAGACAATTTAATATCTAAGTGTGTATTTAGGCTCCTGTATGGTACAATTTCCTTTTTGTACCATTTTTGTACAATTTCCTTTTTGTACCTGACACACCTGGAGAATAGTGCCTCAGGGCAGCTCCACACACTTGCTGGAGAGCACAAGAGGTCAGAAGTGGTCAGTATCAGAACTACTTCTTCTAAACCCCACCACAGATATGTTTTAGAGGTCAATTAAATGTTTCTGTGGCAGGTTGACCACAGCTGGCTGTGAGATGCCTGCCTGGCTGCTCTCACTTCCCCTCCTCAGCCAGGCAGGGGAGAAAACACAGCAATAAAACTTGTGGGTCACGATACAAAGCCAAATACAGACAGGGAAATTCCTCACCTATTGCTATCACAGGTGCAAGAGAATCAACTTGGGGAAAATAATGTTATTTCTTACCAATTAAACTAGGTCTGGATGGTAAGAAACAAAGATAAATTACTCTTCCTTACCCACTTTTCCCCAGCTGATCCTCCCTCCTTCACTTCTAACTGCTGTGCCTCTCCCAGCTCCTGGCAGTGTTTCTCCCCTCTCACCTCTGTCCCCCTGAGGTGTCACACGCAGGGCTGAGGGGTTCAGTGAGGTTTAAGCCAAAGGACTGCTGGAACTGGCCATGCCCAGCCTGGGGCAGCCTCAGCCTCTCCACAGGCCTGCAGCTGTTCCTGGGTGCAGGCACCCCATGCATTCCCAAAGGCAAAAATAAGGAGTAATGCACATGTCCAATCTTCAGGTGCTCTCTTGGGCCTGTGACCACTTCTTGATGCATTCATTGTTATAAAGCAGCTCTGCTGATGCACAGACAGCCCAATCCCTTTAGAGACACTGAGGGCAAAACCACCCTCTGGTTTGGGGCAGAAAAGGATGAGGCCAAAGTACCACACCCCCATTCCTACAGTCAGCTGCCTTTATTTTTTCTATTGCTTTTCCATCTCTCCTCTCTCTGCACAGACAAACCTGGCAATAATCACAACTGAACAAAAACCGTCTCAAGGCTTTGTTCATTAACCACGTTCAGGAAGCAGAGAGCAAGGCTTCACAAACCTGCTGGTGCATAAACACTCGTTTTATGGCCACTTACTTTGTGTTCTCAAGTAATTTTATTTTGTCTTTTACTCAGCCCTTTCCTCAGTCATTAAGCAACTTCACTGCAGTTTCTTCAAGGTTTTCATGTGGTTTTGGTTTTTCTTTTTTTTCTTTCTCTCCACTCTTTCAGCAGGCTTTGGGCAAGCACAACCTTGAGCTTGCTCTGCCACTAAGCTGCTCCCACAAACCTGAAAGCAAAGATCTCACCCAAAAGACATCAGTGTGCACTAACATCTGCACCTCACCACTGAAGGTTGCTGAAACAGGAAGGCAGCTTCGCCTGGAAGAGGTAGGGAAAGGGGATTGCACACTGGAAATGAGCAAGATTAAAAACACCAATCCAGCTGTCACACACAAAGCCATCTGCAAGTTATTGCCACTGTACATCACCCAACAGGCAAACCCACAAACCAGGAACAGGGAGGCAACCAGAGTGAGGCAAGAGTGGGGGTTTCCTTCTGAAAGTAGCAAAATGGAGCTCAGAGGTCAAGCCTGTTAGGAAACCTTCCTTTTTTCCCCCCCATTCCATCACACAGTCCTTTCGCAGTTTCACTGCACATAATGCAATTAAGGTTTAGTGGAAAGCAGAGACCAAAACCAACAGATTTACTAATTACCATCCCAAATAACTGCAGCCTGCCTGTGAAGGCGGCAGCTGTGTCCCCTCCAGAGGAGAGGGGAGGCACAGGTGGGCTGCCATCCTGACAGAATGGGACCAGCAGCTCACAGGGAACAGGGAGGCCGGACAGAAGATCCCTTCCACCCAGAGCAATTTATTCTAGACTGGATAAACAGGCTCCCTGGATGGATTTTAAAAATTCATGCAGAAAAATGTGGCTGTCTGGGAAGTGTGTTTGTCTGTGGCATTTTTAGCAGAGAAACACACCCCCCCCCAATGAAAACCATCTAATCCTGCTACAACACACACACCTGTGTATGTATATTAAGATAAATAGAGAACCTTAATGTTGCTCACATCTACAGCTAATAAACTGAATGAAAGCAACTACACTTACATCTCAGTGGGGGAACATAAAGGGTCATGGCTCACACTCAGGCTGGGGAACCAGCAGAGATGAGCCCTCATCCACATTACTGTCAGAGAAGCAGAAATCACCAGGCTCTTTTCTCAAAGCCAGCCAAATTTCACCACAGTTGGGCCAAAACCAGGTCACCCTTCTTCTCCCTGTCTAGTCCTGCTTTAACATTTCCAGAGGGAGTCTGAAGGTCAGAAGAACTTGTACATCCCGTTCATTTTTCAAGAACAAAGATTCAGTGATGGATTACTTGGGTAACAGAGATTCATTTTGTTTTCTCTTGCAGTCCCATTAAAAGTCTATGCATTTTAATGCTCTTCAACAAAGCCTCCAAGTTATAGATCCATATTAACAAGCACAATGAGAAAACCAACCTCTTCCTGCCTTTCTGCTGTTCTCCCCAAACTCATTCAAATTACCTTAAGCTTTTCTGTAACAAACACAAGAGGAAGAGACTATCACCACTCAGCAGTAGCCTCAAGAAGCATAAATACATTAGCTAATGGGCTGTTTGCAAGCTGCAATGGTCAATTAAATATAGAGAAAACATCATCCCAGTGACAGTACAGCACCCCATCTTAATCCCATCAAGGCACAGGCAAACAAGCTCATCATAGTTTGCTTCCAGCCCTGCCATCCTCTTAGAGCCAGAAAAGCCAGGTGAATTTTCCCACAACCCCTCTGAACTGAAAAGCTAACATTGTTTAGGGTACTAGAGGATTGATTAACTTTCAAGAGCACTTATGTAAAGATCAGACACTTAGTCAATATTATTTTGCTCTTTTAACCTTCTAGTTAGAGAGAGGTATAAAAACTGCCTAAAAGGCACAATGTAAAATTTTATTTTCATCCTCTTTTATTTCATTGTAATTTGTTGCTCATTAAAAAAAAAAAAAAAAAGTAAAAAAAGATTAAACTTCTTAATGCCATTTCCAGATCTTCAGAACAGAAAGTATTTCTCTAGCAACCAGCAGGGAAAAGAACATGAGCCCAGCATGGCCAGGGGGCAAGAGCACAGCCTCCACCCAAGGGCCATCTCTGGATTATCCACAACATGGAATGAAAGGGTCTTTTCTCTCCAAACAAGCGATCTCACCAGGTTGGCGCTCACCCGGTACAGCCACACTGCTCCTCAGTGCTGTGTTTGGAAGGCCAAGTGATTGTCCTGAACAGGACAGGAGAATTCAATGTAAAATTCAATGCAAAATTCCACTTCAGTGTAGGAAAATTAAGGCAAGTTCCCTTCACACAATGCACTCCTGGTTTAGGAAAACCCACGACAATTATAAATCCATTAGAGTTTTACTAATTCCAGTATATCCTTCTGGCACTAGATGTACGCACAAAGGTGAATTTCCATTAGAGAAGGACCTGTTCTGCCTTTCTGGTATATACTTGAACACACAGAAAGAAGAACAAGAGAAAACACCTGTGTCAGTATAAAGTAGACTTGAAATTTTAAAAGTACCATTTAAAGTTACTTAGACATATTTACTGGCATTCGTTTGATTTCATTACTGATGATGATACTAATGCTTACTCATGACTAGGGAGGAAAGGACACGATTTCTTACCTAAGTTGCTTGATATTACTGTGGATTTCTAGCTGTTGCCTGATACTATTATAGATTTCCAACTGAATGACTGTGAAAGCAAATGCCAAGGGAAGAAAGACTGAACATGCTTCAGTATATTCATACGGGTACCAATGTAAAATTGGTACCGCAGACTCCATACCTAACAGAGGTACCACACCGTAATCACGAGGGCTGCAACGCACAGCTAAACCACAACCCAAGCACCAAAGACCTGATCCACGCCATGTGTTTCGAGTCCTGAAGACAGCACAGGTGTTTATAGCACTGTGGGACAGCCATCACCACAGGCATGGCCCCCACACGCCATTCGCCCGCCTTTGCCCTCAGGCGCCATTTTGTGGACAGGCGGCATGACTGCCATCTTGTGGGCAGGTGGCCCCTGGGGAGTGCTGAGGCCTGCGGGGGCGGGGGGGAGGGCAGCGCCTCCCAGACACAGGAACAAGGCTGGAAAAGATCTCTGAAATCACTGAGTTGGCAAGACCTGCAGTAAATTACGTACCACCATTCCTTCATTCAGCAGGTCCAGTTTGTTGTAGATCACTGGCTTCAAGCGGGCGAGATCTCTTGCCTGGGCTTGGCTGCGCACCCATGTCCCCTCACCCCCTCAGGGGACATGCCCATCTGCAGCAACCCCACCACTAAAACCCAGACTCTTCCAAACCCTTCCCAGAGGCTCTTGATGTCCCAGTATACACCCTGGTCCCTCACCAAACACCTCCTCTGGTGTTTGCTCCTTAGCTGCTCCTAAGGGTGACCCAGTACCCAACAAACATAGATCTCACCATATCAAAAACCTCTGCCTAAATCACAGAAGAATTTAAGTAGCAAAGAACCACCAGCTTTTACCAATCCACACAAGATTTGTACCATTCAGTTGCAAATTCTGAGCAGGTTCCACTCTCCTCTCTGCCTTCTTTATGGTTCTTAACTGATATTTCAGTATCTCACTACAACTTCTCCACAGGAGATTTCTGATTTAACAGTGCAGCAAGCTATCAATACCTATATATTAATGTATAAGGATAAGGTAGCCTCTTATAAAATGCAGATTTACAAAATATTCTGAGAGATTTTAAATATCACATCTATCTTGCATGCTGTATACCATAAACTCACTACAAGTGTAATTATATATAATTAGTTGTGTGTTTGTAAACCCAACAGCTTAATCATGTTTAATTAACCACATTGTAATTGGAACATTCGATAGTTAAATGTTGTCTTGCTAAACTGATGAACACCTGGAACACGCAATTACTTTCACCACCAATAAATTAACTTTAACTAAAATCTGTCGTTAGTAATTATTTTCCTTCCTTCCCGCTAGACCACAAGGATTAGAGATAATAAATAGCCAAATCAGATCCATAGCAATTTGTTAAGACCACAACTGCAGGAGCCCTCCTGCTGCCAATTTTACTTTTCTCTAATATATTCTTCAGCAGAGATTACTAACCGCTGCATAAGTCATTGTTTTCCCTTGTTTTTTTATTTCCAAAACTCATTTTTATCAGAGGCTTGGTTGTTTGGGGGGAGGGGGGGCACGGGAGGAAGGGTTGGCTTTGTTCTTAAGAACTACCAGGTCAAATGAACCAAGTTACCTGCAGGTGAGGAGCAGGGAGAAAGGCTCACCCCTTCACTCAGACCCCTCACAGAGGGTCTGGCTGCTGGTTTGCCAGTAGGTCTTAGCACAAGTAAAAAATGGGCACATGCCAAGGGAATATCTTCACACAAGCACTTGGAGCCATTTGCTTACCCATTTCAAGGCACACAGACACATAAAAATGAGAGGCCTTAGAAAAGTGTCCACTTTTAGAAAAATAACTGGAACACTTTCAGAAGAAGAGAAACCAGACAACACAAAACACACGCTGCATTAAACTGCAGGGTGTATTATCTGTAGGTCAAGCACTCCTATTCACTGTCATTATTCCCAATCATTGGCATCTGCTGTGGAACCAAGAGGCAGCAAATCTAAAACGAGGAAAGGAAATAAACACAATGCAACGACAGATTGCTCAACTGTCATATCACAGCCTTGAAATCACAGGATCAGGTGGCCTTAAAAAAGGACCAGACATTTGTACAAACAAGAACATACACCATCATAAGGATTTAATAACGGTTTGAAGCCCATGACATACTTCTCGAGCTGCAGCTGGTACAGGGAGTTGGGGGTGCCATTGCTGCTCCCAGGCTTCTTGCAGCAAATCCAGAGCCAGCTCCCACTGAATATTGACACCAACATCTATAAACCTGACCAACCACAAGATACGGGACAGTGAAAAGAAAGAGCAATTTCTTTTAATCCAGATATATGTGGAATAGCTTCATTTTGTGTACACAGATTCTAGTTTCCTTAGGTGAGCCGGAAATATATTGCAGTCTCTTCTTTTGCACACTGGTACAGAGAAATGAGAATTCAATCAGGCCCTACATCACTGTGGATGGGATAGTAGGGAATAGGCAGAGGTAGAAAATTATGTGAGGCTGTGACAAACAAGAAATGAGGTGTTGCAGATGCAGAATCTCTGAGTTAAAAAAAACCCACATAATCACTAGTTCTTCACAGAGCCTTTCAACACAATGTTGGCAGTACTGATACCTGGCAGACAAACACCAATATGGAAATTTTCAGCCTAAGTGACAGAAGCTGTTGAAAAAATTCCTTGAAGTTGACCAGTCAATTCAACTTACCTGTTATTAGCATGACCAGGTTGCTATTCCATTACCTAGGCAGTGTTTCACACACATAGTTTGCCTGTAGCTGTACACGTGTCCACTATTTTCACAGATTTAACTCTAATGGAAGGATTGCATCTCCCAAAATTGTCTCTAGGAAATTTTACATCTCCTGTAGCAAGTGATATAACAAGAGATGAACTATCAAATGAACTGCTGCTAACACACTGCATGGAAAAAAAATCAGATCTCTTGCATGCTGTAATACATGACACAGGTATTTGCCTCAAGCAAACTAAAAACTGAATGGCAGAACCAGCGGATAGTCTGAAAAGTTTACCTCCTCCTTTCTTTACTGCTTAGATGCAAGAGCGTTAATCAACAGAGCAAAGGATTATTTGTACTTCACTGAGATTAAAAAGGGTAAATGCTAAAAATGAATCCACAGCCTTCACTTCAAGCAATAACACACAGTGCTTCAATAAAGGAGGAAACAGCTTTGATGGAACATCAAATGAGATAATGAAAAAGATCACTGTGATGAGCTTGACATGAATACTGGGCAAAATTTCCTTTCAGGAAAAAGGAACTCAAGCCCTGCCTTTATACTTGATCTGATTTTTAACATGGTGTGTGTGGGGAGAGGGGGTCTATATGACTGGCTGATGACAAAAGAAAGCAGTGGCTATTTGCCAGCCAGGAAAATGTAGATTCAGCTGAATCCCTGATGCTTCTCCAGAATCAGTCAGCCACCAGGAGGGCTGGGGAATGAGAGAATGTGCAACAAAAAACAAAAGACAGCATAAACTGAAGGAGTAGTGGAAAAATAATTTTTCATTATCCTCCAGTAACTTTTCTATTACTTTTCCATTTATAATTGATATTCTTCCTCTGACAAGGGGGAAACTGGGGCTTAAGCAAACCCAAACAAGAATTAAAGGATAAATATTGCCTAATGACAGGCAAATGGCATTAAAACGTAGGTGGCATAAATGAATGTTGAAGCTTTGCCCCTGCTCAGCAGCACTCAAGTCAGAAAAGAACCCCAGCATTCCTCAGGGAAAAATACAGCAATATTAAAGGTGAAACATAGAGAGGAGTGAAAGAGCTGAAATCAGCTCAGACTTTCTTTCTGGACAACTTGTGAACATCACAGATGTATTTAAGGACAGCCAATGTTTGGTTTGGTTTTTTTTTAATACTTTGAGATTTGTAGCTGAAACATGAAAAAAAAATCCAGAAAGTAGCAGAACTTTCTCAAATGCTGGGATAAAGACTTCAAATCAGTTCAAAAACAGATAAAGAAAGAAAAGCAATTTCACAATCAAGTGCTAAAGCACTGAAGACATTGTTTTAACACAGAAACAGATGAACAGTGCAGATGCAACATTACAATCAAATTTCTACACACAAATAAAGCACAGGGGAAGAGCCAAAAGTGGTATTTAAGGATGGAGATTGTGACCTAATGTGTATAATTAAGCCACTTGAATTAATTCAGCTCCTTTTGTTCTTTTTACAGAGAAGTGGAAAATCAACAGATAATGGTCCCACACTGAGTAAAGAATTAGGGCATCCCCCCCCCCCCAAAAAATGCTTTGTCTTCATTAAACATAATGAGAAAAAGAGTTACTCTACATGAAGAACTTCAAGTCGTACAAAGTCAAAGCTTTAAGGGAAGACATCTACCCAAAAAAAAACTCAGTTATTTGACCAAAGTGCTGCCTTTTCCAATTTGCTGTGACAAATACAGTAAGGAATGACATATGGTTGGTGTGTCACTTATACCTTATAAGACATAATGCACTGGTTATATTAGTCCAACAAAGTATTTCTAATTATTTCCTTACTTCTAAATATACACTTGGAAAAATGCTTTTTTCCCCCCAAATACCATCTTTTTATACTGCAATAGCAAAATGCAGCAAGGATATTTAAAGTAAAATGGTAAATAAGGTGTTAAATTGAAGGGAAACTGTATGAAGCAAAACCAGAAGTTGATGTTTCTGTCCATATTTATTTTTTTTTGTATCTTGGAGACAAAGTACCAAAGCAGATTCCACACTGGCCTAGCCTCCTAAAAAGAGCTCCAGGTACCACGAGTCATGCCAGGGCTGCTGGAAAGATCATTGTCTTTGGGGACACACAGCTTTATGGTCATCAATCCACCGCATTCACAGAAGTCACCCCAGGCAAAGAATTCATTAATTCCAGGTCAAATAAAGCAGAAATAACCATGTTCAAAAGGCAAATTATCTTGGTTTCCCATTTTTCACATAATGTTGAATAAAAGGAAGAGGAAAAATACACTGATGCAGTGCAGGAGGGAGAAATACACTCCTGCCACATGGTGGTACCTTTATGATCCTCCCTTTCCAAAGCTGAGTCTCTGCTTTGGGAATACAACTTGATATCATTCTGTTTCTTATTAAATTTTATTTCCTGTAATAAAAAAATTGAAGTCAACAGTAACAAAACTTGGTCTTTATCATATCCCTGCTGACCCAATTATCCTTTGAAGACGTACAATCAGTCACTATGGTTATAAATGTTAATGCAATGGAAGGTGTTAATATTAGTCAGGGAAAAAAAAAATCACAAACTCCATTCTAATCCTCATGAAAGCGAA